AGCTAGTGGATCATGCCCCTTGGGAGACCCCTATTGTCCTGCCCCTGAAGTCAGATGGCTCCCTGAGGGTCTGCACTGACTACAAAAATACAGTCAAGGCGCTGCAGGCCCACCCCTACCCGGTGCCCGTCGTCCAGCATGTGCTGCATTCCTTGGGCCAGGGCAAGATTTTTGCCAAATTGGACCTGGCCCAAGTGTATCAGCAGCTGCCGGTGGACGACGCCACTGCCACCACCCAGACCATCGTCACGCACCGGGGGGGGGGGCGTTCCACTGCAAGCACCTACAATTTGGCATCAGAGTTGCCCCCGGTCTTTTCCAGGGACTCATGGAGCACCTGCTTCATGGCATCCCTGGCGTGATGCCATACTTTGATGACGTCCTGATTGCCGCTCCGGACCAATCAGGACTCATCTCCACCCTCTGGACTGTCCTCTCCTGATTCCGCGCCTCAGGTCTCCACCTGAAGCCCTCCAAGTGTCAACTGGGAATTCCTTCCGTTGACTTCCTGGGCTTCCGCGTGGATGCCCATGGCATCCACCCCTCTCCCGCCAAAGTGGAGGCCATCACCAATGCCCCCACCCCCTCCAACAAGGCGGAGCTTCAAGCATTTTTGGGGCTGCTTAACTTCTACGCTGCCTTTATACCACATAAGGCATCGGTGGCAGAGCCCCTTCACTGCTTGTTGGATTCCTCCGCTCCCTGGACCTGGACCAGCCGCGAGGCGCATGCGCTCATGGCTGTCAAACGCCTCTTGACAGCTGCCCCCGTGCTCGTGCAGTATAACAAGCACTTGCCCCTCCTTTTAGCCTGTGACGCGTCCCCTTATGGCGTGGGTGCTGTCTTGAGCCACTCATTCCCTGATGGCTCAGAAGCACCCATCGCCTTCTATTCACGCATCTTGTCCAGAGCTGAAAGAAATTACAGCCACCTGGACAAGGAAGCTGGCGGCCGTAGCTGGGGTGAAGAGGTTTCATCACTACCTCTACGGCCGCCCGTTCACCCTCCTCATGGACCATAAGCCCCTTCTTGGCATCTTAGCGGGGGATCACGCCACCCCCCCTCCTGTCACCCCGTATGTCCCGCTGGTCCGAATTCCTCGCTGCTTATTTGTACCGGCTGCACTACCAGCCGGGTAAGCATATGGGCCACACGGACGCCTTGAGCCGGTGTCCGCTGCCCATGCCGTGTCCGATCCCGCCTCCCCCGTGGCCTCTCGCGTCTCGTAGATGACCTGGAGCTGCCACTCTCTGCTTCCGATATCGCCCAGGCCACCTCCTCCGATCCACTCCTTCGCCG